TGTTTTTTTATTACACAGCAATGAACAACATTTGTAACTTGAATAAATAATAATGAATTGCAGAAACATTTATTAATACGTAGTTACACCCCTGACCTAAATACTTGAATAGACATTTAAATGATTTAAATACAGACAGGTTCAGTTCAGTTTTAGTTTCGACTGTATGTTCATACATCATCGATCAGGAGAGCCAGCTCTTTGGAAGCCAGCGTGACAGCCTGACTGATGTCTCTGAGATCTGCAGCATTCCTTATCAGGCGGTCTCTCTGTGGGGAAGGACAGTTAGACGGACAGTCACACAGGACAATTGCTAGAACATAAAAAAAAACAAAAAACATACGGTTCGTTTCCCTTGCTTACCGTGAAAAACTTGGTATAGTCAAGCTGGGATAGAAAGAGTCGCTCGGCATGAAGCAAGACATCAGCAGACAGGTTACACAGCTGAGCCTGAAGATCACTGAAGACGTCCTGTCCTTCGTCCACCGTCAGAAACTGGCTCAACATGCTTGCATTACACACCAGGTCCTGCATCTCAGTTCCATCCACAGCAAACTGAATAAGATAATTTCATTAGTAGATATAGATTAGTAGATTCTGAATAAGATAATTTCATTAGTAGATAAACCGGCAGCAGTGACAAATACTTGACATTGACATTTTGCTAATATAAAATACAGCTTTACCTGCAGGTTAAGTCGAGCTTTCATCAGATGGTCAACAGTTTCAGCTGACAGGCTGGTGTTGGTCAGGAGGAAGGTGGAAAGTGTCTGATTGGCTCTCATGTAATCCTCCACTCTTTCTACTGCAGGGAACAAATAAGGGAGATGTTAACTCTGACATTACAGTTAACTTTTCAGAACACAAAGATTTTTAAAGTATATAATATATATTATATATATATAATTTATATATATGTAGATATATAGATATATAAGTATATGGTTCACTTGATCATTGACATGAGAGAACCTGATTGTTTGACACAAGTCGCACATTTTCTGATAACATCTTTTAACTATTTCTCAATGTGGGAAAAAAACATCACTGAATTGTTTGTTCCGGGTAGTCCTGTAATTTAATACGCCATCATCAATAAGAGGCTGAACAAAAAAGCTGGAGGCACAGTCACCCATCCATTCAACACCTGTTTAAAGCCTTTCATGGCTTTACTGTAGCCCGGCACCATTCAGTCCTGCTCAGATGAGTCTGGGAACTGTTCTCTGCCTCTTTTAATCCTGCATCACTTTCACTGCTTTCCAACAATTTAACCCCATCATGGTCTTACAGGCTGAGTATCCTGTTTCTTTATCTAGATTAGATGTCTTCGTTTAGGGTTTTCATTGGTTAATACAAATACAAATTAAAAAATAAATAAACAAACATGTTTATTGTTACACTACACTGTGAAAACATTAAGCCAGATGACCCAGAAATTTGGTTCAATAGGAAATGTACTGGACACTTCACCATCCTGTACTCCAACTAAACCATGGCCTTGTTTACAACTGCACTGAAAAAAACCCAGTCTCTAATGGCGTTCTCCCTCCATACATAATTTATTGTAATTCCTGGAAACCGACCATTTAGAGGATACAGGTTCAATAAAATGACTCATGATTCATGTGTGATCTAATAATACCTAACCTCCTGGTCAACACTGCACTGTAACTGTATTGTTACAGGTGCGGTTTTAGTGTATGAAAAATGACCTGTGCCTTAATATGGTTGTTTAAGATTAGTAAATTGGAGACGTGGTTGTACTTGGCCAGAATCCAGGTCTTTGCACAAGTTTTCGAATGTTCTCCGTTAGGTCCTGATAGGTCGAGAAGCTCCTATTTCCACTGTAGGACAGAAGAGTGTTTGTGTCCACTAAGAGTCGAGACAGTCTGTGGAAACAATACGAAAACATAATTATATTGTCAGTGGTATAATGGCTGCCCAGACTGTCACCCAACACTACTCCACATTGATTTTTCCATACAAGCAGCAGAGATAGAACTGTAAAAGAATCTAGTCTGACCTGAATAAATTACAATTTACAATGTTTTTCAGTTGCTTATGAGCTTCTGTCTACGTACATAGAGTTGTCAAAGTTCCCAATCTGCCCTGGTGTTTCTCCTGGTGTGGGGCTGTGGAAGCAGGGGTTGTAGATGTTGCAAATGATGCCCTGAATCCAGGGCAAGGTGCCTGCTGATGGCAGAGCTTTGTTTGGAAAGTGACCTGAAAGCAAAACATCAGAAAAATCAATCACTCAGAAACTGGTACAATATAGACCCAAAATCCTGCAGATTTTTATATAAATTAAATGTCAAGTTTTGTATTTTTTATGTTTCTATTCTAACTCTAACATTAAACCAAACTTACAATTTTCAATATTCAGTTTCCAGATAATCAGTGTTTGTATTTTTCCTTAAGATATTTTTGCTCTAACATTAAACCAAACTTACAATTTCTTTATATTAAAATTGTGTCTGTTTTTCTGGTTTTTCCACCATTTATTTCTTATATAGGTCTATACTGTTTTTCTATTTTCTACTTTTGCAATGATAAATGAGAATCTATTGCTTTCATATTATTATATAATAAATTACGTTGCCTCCTCCATCTTCATTACCCAAAGGTACAAGGTACTATCACCATGCAGATTTTACAAATTAGGTCAAGAACCTGGGAGATCAGAGAAACAAACATACGGGCCAGGAAAAAGTACCACCTACAAGTTAAAGCTCTTTATCTCCTTGGTACACAGCCAGTTTCAAGTTTGTGTGTGTGTGTACATGTCGGGAAGTTACTCACATTGGCCCTGTTTGTAGGGGGGGTGCGACTGACGGACGAAGATGAGAATGACAAAGAGGAAGGGCGGCCATAGTAGCTCGATGATCAGCTGGATCTACATGAGGAGAAAATTCAGCATCTGACACGTAGTAAAACATCTTAACACACTTTTGTTGGCAACAATGCTGCACCCTGTGTTTAATAATGACCTCATCTGAAACAAAACTGTGTCTTATACAATTTTTTTTTGACAGAAATTAATTTTTTTTAAATTTTCTGTAGAGATAAAAAAGGCACCTTGTTTCTCCTCCGATAAGTGATGTTCTTCCAGAGCAGAAGGAGAAGTTGTCTAAAAAACAGGACCATGCCTCCCAACAGCTACCACACCATGGTGTGATTCTGTAAAGTGAAAACAAACAAATGAACAAACTCAAATTCTTTTTTGAAAGACCATTTGTTTTTCTTTATGTAAATCTTGTTGGTTGTGAATGACGTCGCCCCCATCCTTTTAACAACAAACACACCACAGACTGGTGACTGACAGCATTTGGGAATCAATAACAGTAACAGCCTGCTGTATTCTTTAGCACCCAGGGGCCTAAGCTCTGATGACAAGCCAATACTTCAAAGGAGCAGATGCCACGATGGGGAATATTATATATTGACTCAAATTATATATTGACTCAAAAAACTTAAAAAAAAAAAAAAAAAAAACAAACTTTTTTTTTTTTTTTAAAAAAAAAAAAAAAGTTTGTTTTTTTTTTTTTTTTTAAAAAAAAAAAAAAAAACAAACTTTTTTTTTTTTTTTAAAAAAAAAAAAAAAGTTTGATTATTATTTATTTTATTTTTGTATTTAACTAAAGACTTAGAAGTCTTTGGTAAACAGCCGCTACAAAAATCGTACTTGGGAAAAAAACATTTATCTGAGAACAAAGTCAGTAAAAACCAACAGTAAAAAAACAGCATCTCATTCTATCTTTCTGTGTTTCAACAACCACAAACTGTGGATCACTGTCTTTATCAGTAATATCGGTGGTCAATAAAAAGAGTACACACCTGCAGAGGTCAGAACTAATGGTGATGACATCAAAGATCAAATATACGATGAATATCTTATTACGTTTGTCTACATTCAGCATAAATCCAGCCTCGTACATGTGTCACATTAAGTTACCTATTTTATTTCTTCAGCGTGTATGGAGGATGTCTTTCACTGCCTGGTGTGACCAAACTGACAACAGACAATCCTCTGCTTTATCCTAAAATCCTCCTGATCCTTTACAGCTTACTGGAGTCTCCCAAAGAACACTCACACACCAATGCACATTCCTCACGTTTGTGTTTGACAACTGATCCCAGAAGTTAAATCTAAACCATAATTTTGCTTATGCCAAGCTGAAAAATTGGAATTTCCAACGCAGTCCTATCCAAAATATGACTTTCAATGACTTTAGTAGACGTCTTGTAATAAAACATTTAAGAACATAGCAATATTGCGACAGTGGCAATGTACAGACGTTGATACAGGGTTACAATAATGGACTAATATAACAGGAAATAGTACTAATATAAATATACATACATATCACTACCTTATGGTACACCTTCGGGTAACGTACTCTGTTGCAAAATAGCATATTCAAATATAAATATTTTTTTAAAAATCTGGATGCTGTAACTGTTTAAATTATATTGGAATTTCCAATAGTTGCGTTTAAATAATTTAAATTAACCGACGCGGAAATGAGGTACACATTACAGTGTTAGCGTAATGATATAAAGTGTCTTCCTCTTTTCTTTAGCATGCAAGTACAGTATGCGCATGTGTGGGAAATAAGCTCTTTTATACCACATCAGTACAACACAGTATATTGCTATTAGAGATAACGAGGCAGTCAATCATTACCTTTCTGTATTAAACCCGAGAAAGCCCTCCTGCCAGTGCTGCGGACACAGGAACTCGGTGGTTCGTCATTCACTCCGTCACCAGTGTTTGTTGTTGCAGGTGAAAGTTGACGTTGGTCCTGCCTACCGGCGACGTTTATTGGCTACATGGCGGTAAAAGGGGCGGGTCAACCAAGCCGGTTCTGATTTTAATTGGTTGCCGTCAATATTTTGGTCAGTTTCGACAGCTGATTTGCTGGAAAGGAGTGCCTCGAAATATAGTGTTTCGTCATGATTCTGATGACTACTTCTAAAATTACTGTATTAATTTACATTCATTCAGGCATTAAAAACTGTTTTATTATTACAAGCACAACGAAAGGGTGTATCATGTCTTAAAAAGCAAAAATAATATGTGGCTTCATATTATTTCAGGGCTTCACTCCTCTTCAAAGCAAGTTAGAAAGTTAGTAACAGAAATTGGTGACCCTTAAAAAGAATAGCAGAGAAATTTTAGAGATCATTTAATAAACATTAAAATTCTTAAAAAATAAACATATATCTCTAATAAAAAGGCAGTGGCATTAAAGGTACCGTATGCAGGAAATTTCTTTACAAGAGAATAGCTAATTCATTCTTTTAAAAGAATAGTCTTTAATAGACCAGAAGATGTAAACAACAATGCATTTGAAATTCATCTGCAGGGATATTGCCCCCACTGCTTGTATTTCTCTGCTTGGAAATCTATACAACTGGACAACAGACCCAATTAGACCAAAAAGGCAGTTATAATCCAATAAAAAAAGAGCATTTACAGCATCCCAGATGGGAGGATAGTGTATGCTACATTATCCAGTGCTTACCAATACTAACACAAAATTCCTGCATACAATACCTATAAATTGTGCATGATTATTGCTTGCATGATATTTGCTGTGAGGCACAATGAGGAAAGCACATGTACTGTATACATAAATCAGAGCACCCGGTAGCTCTGCAGCTGGTCACAGACACTGGACAGGTATTGTATGTGCATGTAAAAAATGACTGGAAGCACATGATCAAATACACTGACCCTCTGTGATGATTCAATTTAGCATCTTTACCTCAGGCACGACAGGTGGGAAGACTCATACGACTTATGATAGTGCATCACCATGTAAGCTGGTGAAGTCATTAAATACTTTGCTTCAGAAATATCCCATCTCATCTACAGTTTACATGGTTACATATCTGTTAAATATAGATTCAGATAGAATATATTTGTATTTCTAAATTATGCAACGAGACTAATCTATTGCATTTTATGGTGACAACAGCATATGATGTGCTGCACAATCACTTGCATAATATTTTCTGAGTTTGGCAAAAGTCCATTTAGCTCCAACACTGTTCTATACTTTTGTGATTTCAAGAAGTGCTCAGAGGAACACGGGCTGTTCCTGTCCTGTGAGGAGTCGGTATGTGGAGGCTGGCATTGTTTTCAGGTGAATCTGTCCAAAGAGAGAGGAAAATCATCACTTAAAATATTAAAAGTATTGACCCCTAAAATATCTTGAGGTTTTTTTTTGTTAATAACTCTCTCACCTCTCCAACTGCATTTGTCAGGATCTGGATTATCTTTTCATGCGGTGTGGCTACAACACTTTGTCCATTTATCTCAATGATTCGGTGCCCGACACGAATGCCTCCTCTCTCTGCTATACCACCTCTCATTAAACTGCAGATCTGTAATAAACAAATTGCATACATGAATGTGTTTGACTATTACCTCAAACATTTGTAATGCTTAGTGCAATCACAATATCAAAGTAGACAATCTGACACGTTTCACTGCTTAGAGCTAGTTTTCAAAATCAATAGAAAATGTTATGTGTATGTATGAATAACTAAAACAATAGTCTAAACATGATTAATAATAGAATGAGGATCAACATACAATTCCATCTTCCACACTGAAGCCCAGCTGATATTTGGGATCTGGCCTCTTGATAATTGCCATGGTGACTGGAGGGCAGTGAACGATGCTGAGCTTCACATATTTTTGGCTTTTTAGGTCCTTAAAAAAAAGAAAATGTAAGTGAGCTCTTGAAACAACAAGGCAGTGTTTTATTGGATGGAATATGAAAATATGATCTGCACAAGTAAAAATAAGAAAAAAAAATAAAAAAAATACATGAAATATAGTGCCATCTAGTACATTTTTTGTGCAATTTGACAATTTAACAATCTGAGCTAAGAATTCTGTTCTTACCCGGATAATGTTTTGACAGGTGGTGATGGGCAGACCCACTAGGCTCGTCCCATTGACGGACATGATTCTGTCTCCGATGCTAAGCTCACCGCACCGCTCAGCTGGACCTCCATGAAGCAGGTTGGCCACCACCACAGTGGGAAGGATAGAACCCCAGCCAGACTCCACCACAGCCAGACCTAGGATCTCACCAGATGTCTTTGTAATGGCAACCTGGACCACACACAGAAATCTAAAATAAGCCTTGTATATTTTTTTCCATTAACAGCAACTTCACCCTGGATTAGATAAACAAAATTAACACAGCCATCAGTGAAATGATGTCAAAATATCCATCCTCTTTTACAGGTGAACTGAACAAGTAATACAGATGTGCAAAAAAGTGTGGTGCAGATTTTTTCTGCATTTAATACTTAGCCTTCAAAAAACACAGACATCTACCGTAGGTGGTTAAATAATAAAAAAAAGAAACTCTTGCTTACATCTCTGAGGTTCTGAGAGTCAGAGAAGTGGGCCAGGTCTCCATTGTAAAGCTCCTGATTTTCCAGGTAGTCACTGTACTCTCCAGGTCTCAGGTCACTGGCTTTGATCCCATTGGCCTGCAGGAACTGCTGATAGGCCACACCAAATGCCTGGCCAATAGCCTGAGCTATTATCTGAGCCTGTGAGGGGAAAAAAGGGAAATATTTTCAACCTTGAACCACATTTGCATGAGAACTTGAGGACTTTTGCATGCAAGGTGTTTCTGAGGACATTTGTTTTAGTAAGTTTGCACTCTCTTCTGTAGTCTCTTAAAAAAAATCAATACATATTAATTTTCTTGGAATAAAAATGACCATGATGTTATGAAGTACTTCGTAGGAAGTGACTCACATCATCCGAGGAGAAGACATGGCAGACCATTAAACACTTCTTTTGAGACCTAGCAGAGGACGACGTGTCACCATCTTGTCCTTTACGTTTCCTTCGTGCCATCAGGACCACAATGTCACCTATGTCAGCGATATAAGAAATCATTTGCAGGGCGTGGTCCATCATGGCTTCCTAAAAAAAAAAAAAAATCATGTCAGAAAGGAACTTCAGCAAAAGATTACAAACATTCACCAGTAAATAAATCACCATGTATACAAAACATTCACAAATATACATTTAACATTCTTTCACTGGTAAGTTCCAATTTATTGATTATAATTTGCTGTTCCTACACCTACACCGGTGCTGCATTGAGGGACATGCAGCCAAATGAAGAACTACTGTAATAATAACTGACCTACTTTGACTTTATTACACAGTGGAGCAAATTCATTGTTTCTTAGCACTAACAAGCTGCTGATATAAGTACAAGTGAGGACAGTGAAGTACCTGTGTGTCAGCAGTGAGCACCTTGATTCTCTGTGTGGAGATGAACAAATCCACCTCTGTCATTGGCTGAGATTCACCCTCGGGAGCCTGAAATACAAGAGAAAAGTCAGGTTTTTCTATTTCTGATGTGAAAGTCAGCGTTGCAGTTTCAGTTCCTGCAGAACTTCACCTTTATTCTCTCCACGGCCTCCTGAGCCTGAGTCATACGGACATTTGTAGATGGATTCTTTTCTGATTTCATCTGAGTAGAGCCCAGATACTTGGCTCCAAATATCACCCCATCCAACAGGTCTTCAGGGTCACAAGGACCAGGCACTACAATTTTAAACAGTGTTAAAGTTACAGCTTAAGTTTTAACACAGAGTAAAATAGTATTACTTTGTCTTACCATCTTTATATGAAATCTGGTTTTCGGCTCTCTGCAATTAAAGAAATAAAATATGTAGATTCAAGATTAGTTCAGAACAATAGGTAAATATTTTAAATGGGCCAATGTATGGTGTTGCCCTTAGTTTCTCTTTTTACTTGAAAAATTTCCAGCTGCTGTTAAAAGCAAAATAAAAGCTAGTGAGTGGAAGAAAGGACAGAAATGTAACCTAAATCTTATTGCCCCAGGTTATATTTTACAGTTCTTGTGGTTACCTCTATTGTGACCTACCTGTTCACTTTCTCCGACTGCTTCTTCATCTGGAGGCTCCTCACCGAGCTTCATCCATACTGGTTCAGGATACTCTTCATCGGGCAAAGAGGCCAGAGAGTCGTCCCTGTGCCGTTGATGTCGGCCATTTTCATGATTTCCCCAGTACCTCTGTGCGTCTTCCTGGCTGTAGGAAACCGATACTACAGCATCCACCTCACCTCCGGGGGGCAAACAGGTTAAATGTGGTGTGGCTCCAATTTCTGTGCACTGCAGAAGCCCCAGCAGGTCTCTGTGGTGGCTTTCAGAAAACAACAACCCAGTGGTTTCAGAGCTGCCATCAGCTGTTGTTAACACAGCAGCACATGCTTCCACTTCAGACGGACCAGGAGAGTGATGGAGAGGCAGCGTCTGACAACAGGACTGAGGCTCTTCTCTCATTAGTTGAAGCTGGCCGAGAAGGTTGTGTATATGGCTGTGGTCTTCATCAGCTGAAGTTCTATTTGGAAATTCTTCTTCAGTGACTGAACCTTCCAACTCCCTGAAGGGTTCTTCTTCCTGATTTGCGACAACAACCTCTAGATTTTCAATTCCTTCTCCTCCATTCTTGTCTGTTTCTATATCATTTTCCCTGTCCTTCAGTTCCTTCTCCTCGTTCTGAACCAATTCCTGTTGGTTAATGTTGAGTTGAGCCACTGGGTCACTCATGTCCAAATGTGCAACTAATGACTCTTCTCTAATGACTTTATCCAAATCATCAACAGAAGGCGGGAAGCCTGGATCATACATGTCATCATCTGAGTCTACCTCAGTGGAGGACTCTGATCTCCAGTCTAATGGAGGAGGTTCAATCGGGTTGAAGGAATCCAGATCTTCCACATCTGAACCGGATCGAGCTGATGCATTCTGTCTGTTGACCTCAACGCCAGGGATTTCATCTACAGTGTCAGAGTCAGGCTGATGGATGTTTGACAGTGACTGATTAGTAGAGAAGTCTGTGTCCATGTTTAAAGAAATCCTGTCAAGAAAAATACTTGTAATTTATTTTGAAACCAATAAAATTGGAAATCTATTCTTGTATCCACGTGTTGGAAAATGCATGGTAGCACTGTACTGCATGTCTGAGGTATTTAAAGAGTTAACATATTTGTAGCACTGTACTGCATGTCTGAGGTATGTAAAGAGTTAACATATTTTAAATGCAAAACATACTTTTGCTTTAAGTACAGTATCTCAAAGACCACTGTAAAGTTCCACCATCAAGATAGAAGACGGTAAACCTAATGTTCAAAGTGCATGAGCAATATATGCCATGTCTGTGACCACCTATGTGAATACCAAGATTAACAGCAAGTGTGTCTCCTTGAAAACCCAATAGGATACACATAACATTTATTAATTCATTTTGTGACAAACAGCAGGAAACAGCATTTGTTTGAAATGCGAAAATACATATTCAACACATATAAAATATTTTGGTGGATGTTGCCCTGTCTCTCTTTAATACAAGCCAAATCTGTCATTAAGTAATTTTCCTATGCTCAATGGACAAATGTTATTTTGTTTAAAACATGACCAATAAACTAAGTAACTAAGGGGGATGTGTATGTTCTGTATTTACCAACACTAATCAAAATTGGTTAGTGCTTTAAACCAACACTAATCAAAATTGGTTAGTGCGAAATATGGCTTTATCATCCCTGCAGGTAACTAAAGTAGTTCAGTTTTGTTTTGTTTTGAAGAAAACTCTATTTAGAAATAAAATTGTAAATGTAGAAAATTGTAAGTTTCTATTAAACAGCAATAAAAACAACACCATGTATAGAAATCTGTTACCGTTAGCTCGTCCATGTAGCTTAACCCAATTACACGTCTAGTTAAAGCAACAACATTTTACAAAATCACTTCAAACACAACAATAAAAATAATATTTTTTATTACCCAAAGACAAATGGTAAATCTCACTTGATATGTTGGGACTTCTCGTTTCTTTGTGCCCACAAAGACACTGCTGAGCCTGCCACGACAGACGCGGTGACGTGGTTTGAGGATTGTGCCTTTCCCCTAAACTTTTGCCACGTTTTACTCTGCATAATAGCAACAGCAACGCTGGCAAAATCGGCTCCGTTACATAGTCAAAGAGTTAAAATAGGCACAGTTAGAAAAATAGTGTTAGAGTTGCTACGGCTGCTGTTGAACAGGCAGCTTCCAGTCTTGTAGCATAGACTGCTGCGTTCAAGTGCTTCAGTGAAAAAACCTTTGCTCTGTCAGGTCGTCTCAAAAGGCAATTTAACCACTATTCTAGTACCTTATTTTTAGCGTAAACCCCCTTAAATATTTATAATTAACATCTTATAACAAATAAATCTACAGTCAAATGTTTAAATAGTTGTTGTTTATTAATAAGATGTACATTAGTCAAACAAATTCCGACATTTTAGCTGACACATGAAAGCAACGGCTATTACGTCACGCTGAACCCACAAGTCTTGCTAAATCAAACATCGATATATCGCCTCAGCAATTGGGTTATTTACACACCTATTTTCCGTGTCCTATTTAGAAAAATGACAACTGTATTCCATTCTGGAAAAGATATTTAAAAGAATCCAATTGCATTACCATAACCAAATGGTGTTGAGTAAATAATTTAGAATTTTGATTCAGTTGCTCATTCAAGAACGTTTGATTAGTTGCTCCAGGAGTATTACTTGATGCAGAACTAGAATACTTTGTCATCAGCATGTGAAGATATACACTATCACATATTATTTTTCATACTACTAAAATGGCAAGATGAACACACCTGATTCGGGCAGAGGCCACATCAATGACAAATGGCTCTAAATGTATACTGCCTGTAATCCCACTCAAAAAAAAATGGACAAAATAAATTAGGTAATAAGAGATATGCTTTTTCTAAAATATCACTGCCTGTAATCCCACTCAAAAAAAATTGACAAAATAAATTAGGTAATAAGTGATATGCTTTTTCTAAAACATATATAAAGTATATTTTGGTTCAGTTTCCGATTCCTTCATTCAGAATTGATCTGCATTAAAACTGTGCTTTATTGTCAGAATTCACATTTATTTATTTAATTATTTTGTCATCATTTTGGAGCTGTCTAGTCACCATTGCCACTGCTCATCTGCATTAAACCAATCACAGATGAGATTGTTCCCATCAGTCCCACCAACCATCGAGGGAATTGACCGGCCCACAGGAAACCAGGTGGCATCCAGTGGATGGCGTTACAGAGATCCGCTGTTTTACTGAAAATGGAAAGAAACTCCTCTCTCATCTGTTTATGGAGCTGAAAACGACTACAAGGAAAAAGATCAATGTGTTAGAAAAGCGCTGTGTAGGCAGAGACTGAAACTTGGTAATAAATCTCCATAAAAAGCACCCGTTGATAATGCTGTCTGTCCTTGATCTCCTCAGCTGCTTCCTCATCAGCAGAAGAATTCGGAATGATCTGGAAAAAAATATTTACACCTTAGTTTTCTTTTGTATATATATCTCTTTAAAAAGTTTCAGCAGCTGCTAGGCTGCTAATTGTTGTTTTCCACTGTAACGATTATAATCAGTAACTACTCATCAACCAAACTTGTAGCAATTAAATGGTCAAAAATGCAATCGAAGCTAAACCTAAATCTCACAACATTTGGTTGTACTTTGCAGTCTGGCCATTAGAGGTCAGTAGTTATGTCAAAGCGCAGCCTCGGGTTATTCCTTGGACTCCTAACGTGTGGTACAGGCAGGGAGTCCCACCTGAGTATCCCCAGAAGCAGCGAGGTCCCCCACAGCACTGTGGTGAAAAGCCACCATTCTTCAGACTTCACTTTGATGAGCTCAGCATCAGCTGCCCATGCAATGTGTTCACAGGGGTAATAAAGCTGGTCGGCCACGTTGGTTAGCACGGAGATCCAACGCACACCCGCGTCCTCCTCCTTCAAACAGAGCAGAGTTCCATGTTAACAGTAGATTCTTATTTGAAATATCACTTGTGTTTAAAATTTACTGTAACTGGGAATTTATCTAGGATAAAAGCAGTTTTGGTAGAAATAGTTTATGTGAACAGCTAGCAGTTACAGTATAACTTTTGTTTTGTACTTATGTAAATATGTACTTTTTAAAAATGCTGCTGGCTTCAGGTGGCCTCCAGGTGTCAAAATTATCCTTGTGTCTACATTTGAATTTTTTTTCAACAGTAATTATTATAAAGGTTTGATCATGAACAGCATTGTGTACTATTTATGTTGGTCCAGATGCCGCAGTAAAGTGTTTATATTGAAGGAAAACTAGAGCCTAGTTTATAGTCTAACAACGTATTTTCATAACAGCAGAACTATTATAGTGATCGAAAATAATCTATTTTATAACACGGTGTGTTAGAATCCCCTAACTTTAATTCACTAGAAAAACAGGTTTTATGTGTTGTGACACATAATGTTATGTACATAATTTGGAAAATAAATATGCAAAATTAAAAAGAAAGACAAATAATGAATTTATTTGTCTTGCATAAAACATAAACCTAAAAGATTATTTGCTTTTGGGGCTATGGAGTAGTGAAAGCACTTTATTTACCTCCGAAGTTTTGGTGAGTCAAAACAAGTGTTATTTATCACCTATTCATTGTCATAAATGTGTTTTGGCACACAGATATTCACCCTCACGTCTTTTAAACAACTTTATGGCAACTGACGGGATCGTATCAGCTCGGGAAGACGAAACATCAGTGTCATCAGTGTTGATCGGCGGCTCACCCTGGTTCCCAACCCATAACTGCAAGAGTAGGCCAACATGGACAGATCGTCAAACAGCCTCAGCACCGTCCTGCACTGGCTGAGCTGAGCAGAAAACCGGAGTAAACTTTTTCCCAGGGAAAAAGAGCCTGCTTCAGCCCTACGGGAAAGAACTCCTCCAACAAGCTGCGAGCCATAACAACAGGTCCTGATCTGAGCAAAAACACAAACACACAGGGGATAATGTGGTACAATTATATATTGTAGATTGTAATGTGGTACACTTAGTGTACATACAATTATATATTGTAGATTATATATCTATATGTATCTATAAATATTCATTGACAGTATGCTGCAACTCATGTTTGTATTTTATTGTATTTTACCTATTTGTGTGTTTTACTGTTGTTTTGGTGCTGTACTGCTGCTGAAGCTTAATAAAGGGATTAATAAAGTTGAATGATTAATATTTTCTGAATACTTTTGACTAGATTAATATGAATAAATTGAATGATAAAATAATAGTTTATCTTTCTAAAATATTTATTATTTATACTTGGGTGAAAGTTAATTAATACGTTTTTCTCTCCAACGCTTTTAAGATAAAACTTGTTGAAAGTAAAGACTGCTGACTTTAGTTAACTTTAAACAACAACAAAAATAACATTAAACTACATTAAACCCGCATTAAAACAAATAAGTCACTTTGGATAAAAGCGTCTACTAAATGCATACATGTAAATGTAATACATTTAAGTCGCACTATGACAAATAAAGCAGCATTATGACAGTAAAATATACGTAGAACAGTGCATACCCCATCCAGCTGGTGAAGTCACAGATTAACTCAGAGATACTTACAACTTTATCTCTTCCTCTGTAAGACTCCAAAACTTCGACCACAGACTCCATAGAATGGGGCACGTTTGACTGTAACACACACACACGCCGAGAAACAAACTAGTATTGACTTTTTAGTGTTGTTTCTGAAGAACTGACGGACGTCAACTAGACTTTGTACACAGAAGAAGACGCTATATCAGACCCGACTAGATGATCCCCGAATTAAGGTGGGATGGCGGTGAACTGCTGCCCTCTTCTGTCGAAGACAGATTTATATAAAAGAAACACCCCTGTTGATTATAAAATATTTTTACTTATATTTTAATGAGATTCAAAAACGTATTCAAAAGGGATTTTTTTATTTACATCAAAAACACTACGGAATACTCAATCGAGGCAGCTACGTTCAAGCAGCATGTTTTTGTATTTATCAAACTGAGAATATAAATGAATTCTCGCGTTCCGATGATCGTGGAAAGCTACTTTGCTTTGGCAGTAAAACATTGTAACCCCAAGATTATCACCACAAGATGGTGCTGAAAGCCACAAGCGAACCTTTGACAAATATCTTTTACACTTTTATTTCTCTATGGTAGCTTAAGTGGATGAAACAAACTGCTTTGCGAAAAGTGACAATGTAAATACAAAAAAAACAAGATGAATTAAAAAAAAAAGTTTATGTGACAATGTAAATACAAAAAAACAAGATGAAATAAAAAAAAACAACTTTATTTTAAGTTATCAAAGAAATCAAGAAAATTACAATATGGCAGTAATAGTGTGTTTTCTTTGTATTTCTTTACAAGCAGATTTTCTCACTAAACGACGTTGTGTGTTTGTCTGTGTGTTCAGTTTGTGATGTTAATGGTCAGTGAAAGGATAATCGTTGTCATAAACATCTGAAAAAGATGAAAACAGATGCGATTAGTTTAACGGTTCAAACATGTACAGAAAATTTACTGAACATGAGTCAGAGAAAACTCACCGTTGGAATGATCAACATCATCATATATTTCTCCTTCCCTGCAAAGGAAAAGCTTATGTTTAACAGACAACAAACACTTCATTATATATATATATATATTATAAAGGGCCTTAACATTTGACAGTGAGCTGAAAGTGGAAGACGATTCACTTACATGGGAAGCAGAAGGGATCTGGATACATATCCATCTGTGGGCAGCAAGACAAAACAGGTGTTCATATCATATGATTATATTCATATAATCAATCTCTATTTTAAGTCACATTAAACAATCATGTGGCAAATGTTTATAAATTAAAAAAAAATCACTGCTTAAGAAATAAAATGACACTACAAAGAACATACATATAAAACTGCTTAAATTATACGACAAAGAAGATGAACAAACTGAACATCTTAGCTTCCGTAGTTACTAAGAATATCCAGCCCACATTCACATACATTTTCCAAACCTGTTGCGGCACAGAACTTTCTTGCTGTTGGTGAACTGAATGGCATCCAGGACTTCTCCCTGACACACAGGCAGGTCTTTACCTCCCGACTTTTTAATGACGCCTTTAGGATCCACCATAAGTCTTTGCAACACTCTGATTGGTCCGTCGTACTGTCAAACATTAGATAAGAGACCAAAAGTTGGGATTTATTTTCTTATCATTTCAAGTGATTTTTGGACACAGTAATGTTGTGTAATGTACTGTAGGGTCAGGGACCGGTCGTAGGTTCAGTGCTTTTTTTTTTAAAGAAGATTAACAAACAAATAAATAAATAAATCATGACACGTTATAAGACTGATAACATTTACCTTAAATTTTTTTCTGAATGCTTTCTCTATTTTGGGATCTACGCTGAAATAGAAAATAACATAATTTAGTGTCATGTGACACTGATATTATAATAGTACAGCAACCATCAGACAATAACAATGTGTGAATTTCCCCACAGTGGGACAACGTATCTTATCTTAACTTGTTATTTTTACTTTCAGAAACAGAGGCGGGAACAGATACCTGAATTCAGGTGGCGGTGGAGGGAAATCTTCATTTACTGGTTGAACGTCGTCATAGTCGTCTGAGGGCAAAAACACACTGTTAACACAGTTTTTGTTTTCTTCCTAAAGTTTTGATGAAGGAAAAAAACAAAATAATTTTGCTGTGAACTCTGCTGTCGTCGTTCTTACCGTCGTTGTCACTCATGCTGGAAGATAGAGGAGACAAAAAAGTACTTGTTAGCTGAAAAAACTATGTGCTTATGTATGTGCTTAGCATTACAATACTGTACACTGTAGCATACATATTATTAAATACATTTGGAAAAATAGAGGTGTGAACTTGATCGACTGACTTGTCTGAGTTGTTGAAGTCCATGCGTGCAATCTGTGGAGGGTCAGGAGGAGGTGGAGGTAAATCTGACACGTCTGTTTGTTTGGACTGCAGCACTTTACGCTTCACTGCCTCACAGTCAATGTCCACACATGTGTTGCTGATGTATCCATCTGTACAGAGACAGACAGATGCAACAGGTTAAATAAAATAAAATAAAATAAAATAAAATAAAATAAAATAAAATAAAATAAAATAAAATAAAATAAAATAAAATAAAATAAAATAAAATAAAATAAAATAAAATAAAATAAAATAAAATAAAATAAAATAAAATAAAATAAAATAAAATAAAATAAAATAAAATAAAATAAAATAAAATAAAATAAAATAAAATAAAATAAAATAAAATAAAATAAAATAAAATAAAATAAAATAAAATTCCACTTCGTTCGACTAACTCACAGTTTCCACTGAGAGAGCGTGCCAACCATTTTCCTCCTGGGTTGTTGTTCACTCGAAGGATCTCCACACTTTCACCTTGTCGTACATCCAGGTCCAGTTTTCCTCCTCCGTGCCAGTCGTGTCGGACTTTGGCTGTATGAAGAACTTCAATCTCCCCTTGCAACTACACAAAAGAAGTATTGAAAACTACTTAAAAAAAGTACTGACATATTTTATAGAATCTTGTCCTTTACATTGGACCTTCTGCATGTTATTGTTTTTCTTACCATGAAGTTCTTCCTCAGCTCTTTCTCTCTTTTCTGTTGTTCCATTTTTTCTTTCCTCTCCTGCTGCTGATACTTCTTGACTTCCTTCTTGCTCATCTTCTCAACACTAACCTGGTTCGATTCCTTCTCATCCCTTTAGAAGAAGTATTAAAAATGTATTATGTATTTTAAAAAAAAAAAAGAAGTATTAAAAATGTATTATGTATTTTTAAAAACATATAGATTGAAACACTCTTCTCCCCATGACAACCCACCTTTACTACGTGACTAACAGTTGACCAGGATTAAAATAGAGCAATGAATGTCTAAATAGTTCTACCCAGATCTATACAGAAGAACAACACAGAGTTTCACATGCAACTTAAACTGTTATTGCCGCTTTGGTTTAAACAACTGTAGACACGTTCACTTCCGGATTGTTTTATTATATACAGACATCATAAATAGATACGGTCGTTACTTACACATCAACTGACTCGTACAAATCATCATCGTCATCATCATCATCATCATTATCATCCTAAAAGAGAAAAAGGTATTTTAAGCAAAAGTATTGCTGAATTACAGATAAATGTCAACCAAATCATAGACAAAGAAAAGAAAAAGTTATTTCAAAGATAAACAGCTTCAAATTAACTTAAATTAGGCAAAATACGTCAAGTTAAGAGACAAAAAGCTAACTTTGATAAAAAGAAGTTAGCTAAAGTTGTTGACGTGATGTAGAAAAATTAGGCAGAGCTAATATTGAGGTAAAAACAACTTCCCTAATTCAATTTGACTCCAAAGTTGAATCATTTTTACACAGACAAATTGTTCAAAACTTAACAAATAAGAGAGCTCAACGTCATTTCTACAGGACGTAAAGAAGATCAGTGCGAAAACCAATTGAGCGGCCATACTCACTCTGCCCACACCTTGTGAATCCCTGTCGTTCCATGAATCTGCAGAGTTACACAGTAGTGAACACGACGGTTTCCTCTCGAAAACCTTCTGATATAAAGTACGACAAATAAATGCGCAGAGATATTTTTACCGTTTCTCTCAAAACTTCCAATGTCATCATACATTTCCTGATCGTCGTCTATGTTTCTGCAATTAAGGAACACAAAACATGTTGACAATATTTCAACAAAGAAAAATATCCATTACTTAATGTTAACATATGTTTTATTTATTCATAACTACTGTAAACTGTACTTAATCACAATAACAAGGAAGTAATGTAATATAATATTATTATATATAATATTATATATTTTATATAATTTTTTTTTTTTTTTTTTTCTACTCACATAGCAGCAATCTGGTGTGGCAGCCTGCTGAGTCTGTTGGGTGTTTTTGACAGTTTTGGGAAACTACTCACTGCTGGCAGTGACGCCTTTCTTTCTGGTGCAGACAAAGATCCAGCTGAAGACCAACCCAAAAGAACCAATGAAATATTATAATACTATATGATAAAAACACAACACTGAAAAAAAATCTGGCTCTGAATGACACTGAAAACAAAGGCACGATTTTCTTTTCTAACTAGTAAGAAGTGTGATTACTGTACGTAAAGACAGAGACACTCACTGTCACATCTGTTGTTCGCTGACGGACCAGGTCTGTGGGTGATCTTCTTGAAGGCCTCTAGGTTGACATTTGGAGGCCGTTTAGGCTTCAGTGGAAGGGGTTTCTCAGGGGGAAGGGCTCTCCTCAGCGGGGTGACCTCCCCTGTGCTCCTCTGTCTCTGCTGCTGTCTGTGGGGCACAGGCGTAGAGGTTGGAGTGACAGCAGGGCTCCGGGCAGAACCAAGAGGTGGAGTAAGGGCTGGTTTCAAGGCAGCGGGTCTCTGGTTCCTCGGCATCATGTTCTGTTTGCTGGTTTGCGTGACCCTGCTGAAATCTGGAGAGTGGTTGGTTGCTTTAAATCCAGAATAAGACATAGCTCGAGGGAGTGAATGAGTTCTGGGAGCTATAGAGGAAGAGTAGGAGGAGGAGGAGGAGGCCACTGGCTCCGCACCCAGGAACGGTGTCTGTCTGTTCTGGCCAGTCGATGAAGTAGAAGGAGAAATCGGAAACATTCTTTGGTGGGGAAGGTTGTTCTCCATCACTGGAAAGATCCCTTTCCCAAAAGCAGGTTTTAGTGGAGACACTGGTGAGCTGCTCTCTTGGCTGCTGCTGGTTGCTGGAGTGAGGACTTTGTTGTTGAAGCGAGCCCTCAGAGCCCTGAAATCCTGGATCTCCTCCTGAAATCAACACAGAAGAGTCAAATCAAGCCTGCAGCTGCTCTGGTTGTAAAGCAGGAAGTTAGCAGTGCAAACCCACTCACACCTTCACACGCACACGTTTACAAACCTGCATGCAGCATCTTTAGACAGTGAGATAAAAACAAAACAAAAAAAACCCAACACACTTCCTCATTTATAAATCCTCATCTTAATTAATGTCCTTGGTATTTTAAAGATATTGACAAACTTACTTTATTTTGATTTATTAACAATCTAAAAGGTATTCTGCAATAAATAAATAATAATAATAATAATAATAATGAGCCCCAATTCAGGAACGTGTGTCAGTGAATAACTCCTGTCAGTGTAGTACCTAGCAGCGCCACATGGGGAGCAGACTTGCTTTCTTTGACTGAATTTTTATTATTATTATTATTGATAATAATAATAATAATAATTTCCTACTTGCTGGGAATCCATAAAATTGGATTTGAAACAAAGGTTATTTCTGAATAATCTTCAGACATGAATCAGCCAACATTATTTATCAACTTTTACTGGAACAGAAGAGGTGTGAAATGAGTGTCTGTGGCACTGCCGTCGAAACTTCCAAGAAACAGATCATAAAACTCTAGACAAAGATAAGGAGAAAAAAAAAAAGAAGAGTGAGTTTGAGTTGTCATATATGTCTGAACAAATACAGGCTGTGCAGAGGCAGACCACAGAGTGGAGATACACGCAGGAAGTCATCCGCACCGCACACCTATGCTTCAGCTGTATCCTGCACCCGTTACAAAAGCAACATCTCCTGTCCCCCGTACAACAGTGAGCTGTGCTGCAGCAGCTGCCGCCGCTGCTGCTGCTGCGGGGACCCACAAACTAATGGTTTTT